GCTCATAAGATACGTGAGATTGGGTCATATTATTATCTTTTTTTTTTATTGCTTAGATGGGTGGACAAACTCACAGCCCACTTGGTGTTAAGTGGTTACTGGAGCCCATAGACATCCACAACGTAAATGCGCCACCCACCTTGAGATACAAGTTCTAAGGTCTCAATTATAGTTACAACGGCTGCCTCACCCTTCAAACCGAAACGCATTACTGCTTCACGGCAGAAATAGGCAGGGTGGTGGTACCCACCCGCGCGGACTCACAAGAGGTCTTACCACCAGTAGTTATGCAAATTATAATTTTGCGGGTTTCATTTTTATTACACGATGTTATTCCTTCACCGTGGAAGTCAATCGTGAACATTTTTTGAGTACGTATTTCAATAGAAAAATTGGTACCCGCCTGCGGGATTCGAACACCGGTGCATCGCTTTAACACGAATGCACCGGACGTCTTATCCGTTAGGCTACGACTTCATAACTATCTATGTATTTACTTTTATGAGAAGACCAAGACGCAATAGATTGCTGATAAGACAAACGTTGAAGACGGTTTTAATGCATAGGGCTTTCCCTCATAGAGATGTCTTACGGTGATGAAAATAACTCATTGAAAAGAAGGTAATGTACTACAATGAATACAGTATTTTACTATCACGATTTTAATAGTTTGGTATGCGTGTATGTTTGTGTTTAATGGAATCTTTGAAAGTCATTTTTAACGACGTCAGACGTCCGTGAAAATTTGCGCACGCATCAAGGATCGATGATAATACAGTTAACACAGAGAGTTTGTCGTCGGATCTTCTTAATGGGTCGCGATTCCGATCCGGTGATAGATTCTATGAAGCACTGCTCTTGCTAGAGTCAGTACTAGCAAATTCTCTCAGATTGAGCCCGTGAGGTCACCCACCTGGAATAGCATCTTAGCCTACAAGCAAATAGGTTGGGAATAACGATACAATAAATTAATAATTTTACTATGTAATATCCTAATGTATCAAGATAAAGTACCTAGATAAAGATGAATTAAATTGTTATTCCGGTTTGCTATTTAAGGGTGTAATTTTTTGTTGTAGTTTTTAAATTACATATATTATAATGATTATTAAAGGAAATGATTGGGCTGAGTTCGAAGAAAAGTTATTTATGATGAATTAACCTTTGTGGAATATTATTGAATTTCTCATGTTACTAGGTAAACGGATGATGTCCATGTTAAAAAAGCATTATCGTCAAACAACAGTAATAAAAAGTATCTTTACTGGTGGTAGGACCTCTTGTGAGTCCGCGCGGGTAGGTCCCTGCCTATTTCTGCCGTGAAGCAGTAATGCGTTTCGGCTTGAAGAGTGGGGCAGCCGTCGTAACTATACTTGAGACCTTAGAGCTTACATCTCAAGGTGGCGCATTGACGTCGTAGATGTCTATGAGCTCCAGTAGCCACTTCACACCAGGTGGGCTGTGAGCTCGTCCACCCATCTAAGCAATAAAAAAATAAAAAACCTGTTTCCTTAATCGAATAAATGGCTGGTAGTGTTCCAGGCATCGAATAACCATGATACCGCAGGAAAGCCACGTATACTGACTGCTCTACCCTAGAAAACAAAAACTTGATGATTAATTTTTTTCTTTATGACGACCCCGCATTTATTTAATTTAAAACTTTCGTGTAGCGCTGATGACAAATCTTCATAATAAAACGGAAACTGATCTTCGTCGTAAAAGTTTCTAACAAAAATAAACAAGACCAACTCCTCTANAAAAAAAAAAAAAAAAAAAAAAAAAAAAAAAAAACGTAATAATGTACTTTCATTTATACACGAAACTAATTAATTTATTACGAGAACACATTTGCAATTAGCGTAATTAGTCTACAGGACGAACTAATGGAGTTCTTACAGGCCGAGAACTGAGATAATGCAAAAAGCAATCACTTCGGGATACCTGTTTTAATAATATATTTACCTATAACTAACTGTATGGTAAGCGAGCCGTATTTTCGAAACCAAATTTAACAGATCACGGCTTATGTGATTGAGGCTTCGACCTCATGCCTCAAGATGACCATGGGCTCTTGTAATTTAATAGCAGATCTTTTTTTTTCCACAGTAAAATGTAATTAAAACCATAAATTTTAAACATACTTTACGAAAGCCAAACAAACTCGCAAGCTCTTTATCGTGTTTGCGCTTTCTATGAAGCTCTCGTAGACATAACGGGTGCGATGCTAAGTAAGTCTAAGTAATGTTTGTGAATTTGTACTAAGTAACGCTCAAGCTGCATCTGCATTTACATTACGCGTGTCGCAGAGTTATGTGTGAACGTCGAATTCTTTCGACTTATGAATGTATCTATTGATATTCACTGGTAGTGGTTTTTTGTGTCTACCTATATTGGTAGCCTCGAGGGATTTTACAAGCTTCACCAAGAGAGTAGACAAGCTTACGGGGCTAGCCTGGAGAATTTGCTAACACTAGCTCCAGCAAGAGTAGTGCTTCGCAGAATCTACCACCGGATCGGAAACGCGACTCGCTGAGAAGATCCGGCGAGAAACTCAGTGGGCTGACAGTTAATTTGCTCCTCGAATCCTTTCGACAAGAACGGTTACCGATTCTTGTGGTGCCTAAAGTATAGGTATAGTGGATCGGCAGGATCCGAAATGACGTGTTTTGGGCGACGGCGACTGTTAACTGTTCAGCCCGCAGGATCGGGTATGGCTGGTAATGACTTATTCTGAACTCCTATAAGTAGGTACCGCAACCCTGCTTATTTCCACCTCAAAAGTATAATGTGACAGACAGAGTGTGACAGTCATACTACCCCAAGCACCGGTCATCGTTCTCGTCGAACCCGTCGCTTGCGACGAAGGGTTGGGCGAGTAAATTATCCCGCAGACACATTCCACTGAGCTTCTCACTGGATCTTTTCAGTGGGTCGCGTTTCCGATCCGCTGGTAGATTCTGCAAAGCACGGCTCTTGCTAGGGTTCGTGTTAGCAACATCGTCAGGTTTGAGCCCCCTTGAGCTTACCTACTAGTTAGGTTACGCTGATATGGTCTCGTCGAGCCACGCTTTTTTCAAATTTAAAATTTAAAATTTATTAACATTTATATTCTATTTTTTAGTTGGATTTTCTATAAAAGCGTGTTTTGTTAGTTTTTTTAAACTATTATTTATTTTTCATTTTTTAGTTGAATTTAAATTTTTTCAATATTTTTTTTTTTTATATTGAATTGTCATCGGTCCTTAATAAGTATACCAAATTTCATCAACATACATACGTCTGAAGCTAATAAAAGCGTATTAATATCATGATTATTCGAGAATGATTAAGATTTTTATGAAAGTTCTTGAACCAGGAACTTAAGGTGCGAGAATAACGGAGCAGGCAAAACCAGTACAATTGTGTGTAGAAAAAAAAATTGTGGACCATAACCACTTTCTATTAATTTTTCGCATTCTAAACGTCACATTCACGTCACGTCACTGCTCCGTCGGGCACTCGTAGCGCGAAGGGTTCTTGAGTGACTTAACTTGAGATGTCATTCTGTATGATTTTCTCACGTCCGTTAATGGTATTTCAAGATTGAAGTGCTTTAAAAGAATTACGAACGTTTCAATGCCCGTTGAACCGTATTATAGATTCGTGTGTTTGAAACATACATAAAATCGTGCGCGCAAAGCAGAGTGTGCATGTTGGGATTTCGCGCGTAATTTTTGCAGAGTTTTCACCTTGCCCCACTTAGAAACTTACCCATGCATAGTTGAGGACTCGTGCTTGCGGGCTTCTAAAAAGGCGAATTATGAAACGGATTTATCCTCGTCGATTTCCAGACTTTACCAGTATTTCAGACGAACTTAAAAGTTTAGAATTAAAAAAATATGTACATTACGTTTGCAAACGGCAGTCATATATTTCGATGCAAAGGATAGAATACCTGGAGCCACTGCGGTCATCCACATTGCGTTTCCATAGATCTTTTTTGCCACGTACCATCCGGTTATGGAATGAGCTCCCCTCTATGCTGTTTCCCGAGCGCTATGACATGTCCTTCTTCAAACGAGGCTTGTGGAGAGTATTAAGCGGTAGGCAGCGGCTTGGCTCTGCCCCCGGCATTGCTGAAGTCCATGGGCGACGGTAACCACTCACCATCAGATGGGCCGTATGCTCGTCTGCCTACAAGGGAAAAAAAAAAGAATAGTTCACAAGTATACGTATAAGTAAAAGTATATTTAAAAGAAAGAAAGTATAAGTAAGTAATATACATATGTAAGTAATAGTACACTCTACAATAATTGAAACATCGACTTATTATTATAAGTCAAGAGATTTGTTGCGGTCTGAAGTCCCGAAACATCTACAGCATATAGATACATAATCTACAAAACGGCAACAATTTATTCAACCAAATGGCACATACTCGTACATGTTATACCCAAATGCAAATTCCAGCAAAAATAAATAAAATTCTTGAATTTCTAAATAAAATAAGAAAAATCTTTTTACTCGGCCAGATATATCGCGTACTTGTTTCAATGTGTATTTTATGTTAAAATTATCAAAAACTTTCAATCTCGCTATGACGCTCTCAAACGAGATCAGAGGCTTTCGATCAATAATGACTAAAACGAAATGCAAATCAAAATGGAATATCGAAAAACGCTGAACTTTAAACTTTCTAAACATCAAGCTACATCTCGATATGAAAGAAATAAACTTCGGAACGCATACCTAGAAACTCGTCCGTCCAATTTGAAACGATAAAAAATAAATTAAAATAACCGAAGGCCGTTCCGATGATATCGATACGGGCTCCGCACCCATTGTGCTCTCAAACGTGGCAGCCTCTAATTGAGGCGGCTTTGTTAAACAAAATGAGGTGTTAGCCCTATTAAATAATAAGCGGTTACGGTGCATGTAGAAGCCGCACGTTGCATATCAAACACGAAATTAGATCGAGAACATGACAATGTTAAAAACTATACAATTATTTGTTTCAGATAAAACGTTGAAGATTGCGTATGGACGAGAGATACAACGGGAGTCCAAAGGAAGCGTCGACGAACGCTGTTTGGACACGACGCGATGTTTGGTCCAACTTTAATCACAATAAAAACAAAGAAAGAGGTTTAAAACAACAAAATGCTGATAGCGGAAAATATCAAGCAAAATATGAGACAGAACGAGAAGCTATCAATGTTATAGCGACTGCTGAAGCTAAGCTAGACGAAGATGACCAACTCAGGAAGAATGTGTGGAGTGACGTCGATGACGAACTATACATAGCGAATTTAATAAAACACAGAACCACAGATGTTAAGCGTAATAAACGTGGTGTAAGTGGTAGTGATATCAGTGAGCAGGTTGTGAATAGTGTTAGTTTAGATAATAGCGCGATGTGGGAATTGGAACCCACCGATCTGACGGAGTGCGACTGTTTGGGACCACCTCCAGAGTTTCTCCTGCCTCCGCCGCCGAGACCGCCGTTCCTTCAGTCAGAATATTACTGCGGCGACGATCCTATACCTGACCTAGAAACTTGCGATACGGAACCAGTAAGTTTATTTTAGCAGATTTTTTTAAATTCTGATTTTCCTCATCTTATTATTTGCGAGTTATAATACCATCACTTTTCAGAAACAATTCAGAATTCCATTGTTGTCCTTTATTTAAAATAGCTTTGATATTAGGCGCTTGCATTTTTGGATTTTAATTTTTTCATATAAACTTAATTTCTTCAAAATCGGGCAAAATATTGGGCTTTGCCAAACTGGCCCATTAAAACTGCCGTATCCGTGACTAGTCAAGTAAGGTTTAGATAGTTTAGTTTAAGGTTAAGATGGATGTGGAAGCTCAAGGCCATCTGTTATGTGATTAGCAGAGCATATAGACATTACTGAGTGAATGCCGCCACCTACCTTGAGACATGAGGTTGAAGTCACAATTTAATTTGATAACCGGTGAACCATCCATTAAACCGTAGCGCATTACGGATTTGCTGTAAAAATAGACAGAATAATGTGGGTTTACACCACCTACCCATGTGGGTTTACAAAATGTCGTGCCACCAATAACATTATTTAGAAATTAATTGCAATTTTATATTTTACTTATATGTACGATAGGTACCTTACACAATGAGTCATCGAAGGACCAATTAAGAATTAACATTAATTTTAAAAAAAAAGTCGTCCATGTAACAGAAAAATTGATCTTTTAAATAATTGCCTAAGTAAGGTATTAAGCTCTCAAGAGATCTTACCTATGCTGTATCACAAATAATTCATTTACACGGTCTATTCTATATGGTCTCTTTATCTCGATTAGACAGGCGCCCACTCAAATGCTGAGATATTAATGTTGTAAGAGGCAACAGTGCTTCTAGCCTTTGCCAATGGATCCAGTGTACAATAAATAACTAGTCGTTATTTTGCTTCTATAATATAAATAATTTACATAACATTAAACTATATCTGTTTTATTATTTGTAATTAAGGACTGAATTCTACTTCTCGTCGCGTCGTCTTGCTCACTATCTAAAGTCGTGACTTACTTGATGAGAGATTAATTTCTATTTAATGATGCTCCTCTACGCCTGTCGGTGGCGTCATGTAGAGCAGCATGTAGAGCTCACACTGAATATTTTGAAGGACTTTATAACTAATAGAAAATAATCTGAATTTATAGAGCCAAAGTCGAACAAGTCAAACAAACGAAAGTTTCATATCACACAATTCCAAGCTAGAATTCGTTTCCTGCATTGTGACTATTGGGAACGCATATGCCAATGTCTGACACCTAGGCTAGATTACTAAATGTATTCAATAAAGATACGGGCTACGATCCGGGTTCATTACCAACAAGACTATAAACATGTAAGTATGTGAGAAATTATCTCGTTTATTTGACAAAGATAATTCAGCTGCATAATAAATTTGAAAACTAAAAAAACTCCCTTGATTACGGAGAGACGCTATGTTAATTAGCAGCATTATTAAAAGCAGGATTAAAATTATCTTTTAGCCATCCAGAGCGTCTCGCTTCAGGAATTAATGTGTAATGTAAATTCTATCTGATAAACTAAGTGAGGAATTAAGATAAAAACTACCAACTTAACATAGTATAGGGTCCAGTTTTTTTTATCTTTGTTAAGTGAATCTAAGCATTGATCAAGCATTAACTGCGCTTGTCGTGCGTGGTATCCGGCATTGGTGATTTTCGAATAGAGAACTGTTGACGCTTTTAGTCATAAGTATGGTGTACAAAAATCATTTAAAAATGATAAAGCATGCTTGGAGCTCCTCTAAATGATACAATGAGGTTATTTGATAGAGAACTAAAGTCAGCAATATAGCCCAGAGAATTGGCAAGCCGGAGTGGCAGTGGTCTGACCATTTATGACATAAAACTGACGATTGCTGGAGTAGACGGGCTCTTGAGTGGAGATATCCCCTGACTATGTAGTACGATGACCTTCAAAACGTGGCCAACAATAAACAGGTAGGTAGAGCCAAAGACCAGGTTCAATAGTGTGGATTGGAAGAGGTCTATATGTCCTGCAGTGAGTGACGGCGAGTGGCGACATTTCTCATTCGTAAATTTTCTTCAATTTTCTTTATAACTAGATTAGTATAAAAAAACATGCACAAGAGAGGAAAATTTAAATCATATTAATAAATATGGATAAATAGCAAACAAGCCTGTTTATGACACGAATGTTTGCACGATGTGGGAATCGAATTCACGCCCCTCGAACCAGCAGTCAGGGGCGCTACTGCGGTAGTCAATCGACTGAATAATAATTAATTTTTATTATTTTTTGCCTAGCTAGTAACGTCGAAGGGCTATGCTAGCTTCACCTAACTTGAATTAATTCTCAATTTTCTTATTCATAAATAGTACAGTCTCGTATAACTTAGCTGCACAGTCTAGTTATCTTGCTTAACTGTTTTTTTTTTCTTTCTTTTTGAGACGACACTTAGAATTCAGACACATATTTTTGTTCTGGACGCTACGTAATCAAAACTTACGAGAAAACTTTTTTTATCTCTGTCTGTAAATATTTGATACATGCGGGCACTAATGAAGCCGTGTGCGACAATGGAGTTTATCTTTCTATCTTTATGATGTATCATATACGTCTCTCAGTACATTTTCACTATGCGATGCGTGTGACTATCTCTGTGAAATTATTTTTTCCTTTAACTAATTTAGATACTTTTATTATACTTATATTTTTTTATACTTATATATACGAATTATACTATTTAGATACTCATAATATATGATGTTTTACTGGTGGTAGGACCTCTTGTGAGTCCGGATGGGTAGGTACCACCGCCCCGCCTATTTCTGCCGTGAAGCAGGCTAGATGGGTGGACGAGCTCATGGCCCACCTAGTGTTAAGTGGTCACCGGAACCCATAGACATATACAACGTAAATGCCGCCACCCACTTCGGGTCATGAGTTCTTAGATCTCAGTTTTACAGTAGAACGGCTGTCCCGCCCTTCAAACCGAAACGCATTACTGCTTCACGCCAGAAATAAGCAGGGCGATGGTACCTACCCGCGCGGACTCCCAAGATGTCCTACCACCATTAAAGTCCTCCTGTCCGCCTCCATCTGTTCTCCGCTCACCAATGCAATTTCAATGACAAACAAACCCTATGTTCCTTTAAAATTTTACATGAAGCATCACGTTAAATAAATGTTTTGTGTGCATCACTCGCGTTGATTCTCTGTAGTACTATTTGAATGTGTCCCGAGTGTTTGTTCAAAACTCTTTTGATGTTGCCGCTTTTGAGCGCTAATTCAAACAGAGGTGCGCCTTTCGGTATTTGAATTTATAGAATGTGCGGGATTAAAGCAGATTCAGAATTGTGTAGGATATAGAATATTCGAAATGTTAACACGCTATTTTTAATTTATGAAGTTTTTGTGTGACATTTTGGATAAGCTTATCATCGTTTTTATTTTATTTTGTGACTTCACCGTTACGCCAAGACGGGCCTTTTTTTATTGCCCTTGTAGGCAGACGAACATACGGCCCACCTGATGGTGAGTGGTTACCGTCGCCCATGGACTTCAGCAATGCCAGGGGCAGAGCCAAGCCGCTGCCTACCAAGCCTAACGTCATTCTAAATGTTTACTGGTGGGTCGTTCTATTAATGCCGCGCGGGTTGGTACCGAAATCTTTCCTATTTCTACCGCAAATATTATGTATGAATTCCCTCATGAAGTACAACAGCCTTTAACGATAATAAACTTCGACACAATGTCTCAAGGCGAGTAGCAGCATTGTCTTTGTGATCTCCGGATCATACAGCGGGCGGTTCGTGAGTTTATCCATCTGTCAGCACACAATAATAAATAAATAATAAGAGTATGTTCTAAAGCCGTATAATAGCCATAGTAAATCAACCCGTTTTGTACAATGAATCCCATAACAATGAGTTGAATAATAAATATAAAAACCTATTTATTTATTTATTTTAAATTATTACGAATTTAAACGGAGCTACTGTATAAAGTCGTTAACCCACATACGTGAAGCGATGGGGAGCGATAGCGCGCGACGCGCCTCTCAAAGAAGCCCACGGCTCGCACAGCATACGCTTTTTTAACGTGAGAAAAATGATGATTATTTCGTAATTGAGTTAGGTATAAGTTGATATACATGCATTTTTTTTTATATTTATGTATAGAAAATATTTTTCATGACAAAATTTTAAATAAATTGAATAAGAGAATCAGTGAATCATATCTATTTTTTTACAATTTCTATTTTTTTCCCAATATCTTTTTATTTATTGCGTATCTGGGTGGACGAGCTCACAGCCTACCTGGTGTTAAGTGGTTACTGGAGCCCATAAACATCTACAACGTGAATGCGCCACCCACCTTGAGATATAAGTTCTAAGGTCTCAGTATAGTTACAACGGCTTCGACAATCTTCAAACCGAAACGCATTAATGCTTCACGGCAAAAATAGGCAGGGTGGTGGTACCTACCCGTGCGGACTCACAAGAGGTCCTGCCACCAGTAATATCTAGTAGAATGACGTGATAACGTGAAAGAATAATAATAAACTAAAATTCAAACAAAGTAAGCAAAGTTCGTAGCCACTGTGCGTAATATCCATTTAACATCAAGTGATCTGTGAGCTCTCCCGCCTACCTATCCCAATAAAAAAAGAAAATAATTTGACAGTCACATGTATTTATCACAGCTGCGTAAAACAAATATTTGAAAAGAACAAAACGTAAAATGATTCATTTCAATTCAAAATAGCGTAGCGTTCTTAATTGTAGGGCAATTTCCGGAATCAAATTCCTGTGGTCCGAACAGCTTTATCGCTGTGATTAAGACATAATTTAAGGTGTTGGTAAATTAAGACGATATAACGTTGACACCTCTAGGAAAATCCACACACGTTATCCTTAGTCATACTTTAGGCGAAACTCGCGGTGGTCTGATCCCATATCGATTTTTGTTTGCAGCTCGACGATTCGTAGCAGTCTTTTTTATCGATTTTTTACCTTACCGGCAAACGAA